TCTCCTTCTCCTTCTCCTTCTTGTGAACGATGCACTTGAAAGTGGAACAACCCATATTTCCTTTGTTAACCTTTCCAATTATGAGAACATTTTATAAAGTTTCATAGCTTTCAATAAAAGTTCAATGTTCATTGCTAATCTCTCTTTTTTAGTTATATATAATAGTGGGGTTATGGAGAGAGCTTGGTGGAGTATCATGATAACTGATTCACAAGATACAATTTGCCAAAACTGGAAAGGAGAGAAGATAATTACTGATGAAGAAATCATTAAGACAATGTTTATTTTTATTTTATTTTATTTTATCTCGAATTTATATACCGCACCTTCTCCTGAGGGACTCAGGGAGGTGTACAGCCAGATAAAAACATACAATACAAACATTAAAAACAATTAAAACAACAATTAATTTGGCCCCAATTTAAGATAACAAACCAATTAAAAATTAAAAAATATTAAAAAATATGTTAAGCCAGCCCGGCTTGCTGAAAAAAGAAATTTTAAGGGCACGGCGGAAGGCACTGAGGTCTTGGATTCTCCTTATCTCAGGGGGCAGCTGATTCCAGAGGGTAGGTGCCCCCACAGAGAAGGCCCTCCTCCTGGAGGTGCCAGTCTACATTGTTTGGCTGATGGCACCCCGAGGAGGCCTTCTCTGTGGAGCGCACAGGTCGGTGGGAGGTCGTCGGTAGCAGCAGGCGGTCTCGAAGATAACTAGGTCCTAAGCCATGGAGCGCTTTAAAGGTGGTAACCAACACCTTGAAGCGCACCTGGAAAACCACTGGGAGCCAGTGCAGCTCACGCAGGAGCGGTTTTATGTGGGAGTGCCAAGCAGCTCCCATAATTACCTGCATGGCCGCATTCTGGACCAGTTGGAGCCTCCGGGTACTCCTCAAGGGGAGCCCCATGTAGAGAGCATTGCAGTAGTCCAGGAGTGAGGTGACGAGGGCATGAGTGACTGTGCACAGGGAATCCTGATCAAGAAAGGGCCGCAACTGACGAATCAGGCGAACCTGACAGAAGATCCCCCTGGCTACAGCCATCAGATGTTCATCCAAGGACAGCTGAGAATCCAGGAGGACTACCAGATTGCGCTCCCTCTCTGGGGGGGCCAAATACTTACCCCCGATAGTCAGTGATGGAGTCAACTGACTATATCGGGATGCCGGAGCCACAGCCACTCAGTCTTGGAAGGGTTGAGCTTGAGCCTGTTCCTCCCCATCCAGATCCACACAGCCTCCAGGCACTGGGACATTACTTCAAGGGCATCGTTGGGGTGGCCTGGGGTGGAGATGTACAGCTGGGTGTCATCAGCGTACTGATGGTACTTCACCCCAAAGCCACGGATGATCTCACCCAGCGGCTTCACATAAATATTGAACAGAAGGGGCGAGAGAACCGACCCCTGAGGCACTCCACAAATGAGAGGCCTTGAGGTCGACCTCTGCCCCCCGCCAACATGAACTGCGACAGGTCTGAGAGAAAGGAGGAGAACTACCGTAACACGGTGACCCCATCCCCAACTCTTCCAACTGGTGCAGCATGATACCATGGTTGATGGTATCAAAAGCCACTGAGTCTAATAAGGCCAGAACAGAGTAGCAACCCCTGTCCCAAGCTCTTCAGAGATCATCTACCAACGCAACCAATGCTGTTTCCGTGCTGTGCCCAGACCTGAAACCTGGACTGGAATGGATCTAGATAAGATGTTTCCTCCAGGAATTGTGGAAACTGTCATGCGACCACACTCTCAGCAACCTTTGCAACAAAGCAAAGGTTAGAGACAGGATGATAGTTGGCTAATACTGCCGGGTCCAGGGAAGGCTTCTCGAGGAGCGGCCTCACCACTGCCTCTTTCAAGGTGGCGGGAAAGTGACCCTCATTCAATGAAGCGTTGATAATTCCCTGGAGCCAGCCTCGTGTAGCCTCCCGGGAAGCCAGTACTAACCAGGAGGGACACGGGTCCAGTAAACAAGTGGCCGCACTAAGTCCACAATGTTGGATTGTGCTGAAATGAGTAGATTGACATTTGAAAGAAGAGAACAGGAAAATAATATTATTTGATATGGGAGATATTTTATCAATGGTTTGACAAAAAAGTATGGAGATGAGATAGCATACATGAAATGAAACTTTGATGAAATGTTTAAATATTTACTTTGAAAGACTTTGAAAGAAAGAACCATTCAGCTATCAGGGAATTTGAGTTGTTAGGCTTAACACGTTCTACTGTTCTATGTTCTACAGAAGGGAGAGAGGGAGGGAGGGAGGTAAGGAAGGAAGGAAGGAAGGAAGGAAGGAAGGAAGGAAGGAAGGAAGGAAGGAAGGAAGAAAGGAAATTACAAAAGAGAAAACTATTCTTATTTAAGACCTGGCTCAAGAGGTGTATCTTAAGAGATCTCCTAAATGCAAAAGCAAAGAAATTGGTCATCAAGTGAATTTCCTATGGTATCAGTACATATCAATACCATAGTAAGTACCAAATCCATGATTAGTGCCCATTGAATTTCTAAGGGAATTTTTAGAGGAGCGTCTCTCATGGTTGATTGTGTAAAAGGAAGTATGATCAGCCATCCCTTACACATTTTGACCTCAGTGTGTTAAAGGCTAACAATCAATGTGGATTCATTCATCAATTTATTTGCATTTTTCACTGAACTCAGGGGGGTGGGGGTGGCACATAAAAAGCTAAAAAATAAAAGATAAAAGTAATTGTTAGCCCTCTGAATTAGTTAGCCCAGACAAGAACCATACATGAATACTAATACTAACTTTATTGTAAAATTACAATTACAAAACTGTTCAAGTTTAACAATACCACTTTTCTCTTTTAATTTTACTTCCCCCTTCCCCTAGTGAGAGTCCCCTGTGAGATACTTTCTTCCCCCCCCCTTTCAAACTCAGAAATAATTTACAAGACCATTGTCTAAATTGACACTTTTTCTCTTTTCTCCCAAGATCATTCCCAAATATCATTATACAGATAAAGCATCAAATCACCTATGCAGCCTACACTGACCAAAGCAGGGGCTCCAGAAATGCAGTATTAAATTGATATGTCAACCTAAGACTTGGGACAAAACCAGATTTTTAAGAGCTTTGTTGACTCTAGAAGAGACATAGTTCTTGTTTCTTCAGGAGGGAGATGCTGTTCCAGAGGTGAGAGATGTCACAGAGAAGGCATGTTTCCTCAGAAACAAAGGATGACAACATTTAATAGAGGCAACCTACAGCACACCCACTTTGCAAGAATATAGTGGTCTCTCAGATAACCAGATTTTTCAAAAAGCTCATAAAATGATCCTTGTGGTGTGTACTGATAAGTAGTCTAGCTGCTACATACTACCCCAATTATAATCACATTCAACAAATTGCAGCAGTCAAGTCATGATGTAATAATGTTTGATTAGTCAAGCAGTATATAGAATATAGTCCTAGTGTTACATAATTACTAATTGTTCAGCATTACAGAAAGAAAGGGGAGGGAGAGAGAGAGAGAGACAGAGAGAGAGAGAAAGAAAGAACGAAAAAAGAAAGAAAGAAAGAAAGAAAGAAAGAAAGAAAGAAAGAAAGATGAAAGCACCTGAATACCATGAATTTTCTCACAATGACTGCAGTAAAACCTGATACTACAAAAAAAATTGTATAACTTAAAAAATGCTGCATGGGTTTACATAAGAATAGGAAAACACAGATACATTTTGCAGTATTTACCTTAAAAGATCATAGATGTCCTACAAATTGATTGAGTTCTGAAAACTTACATTCATATATTTGGAATATTAAATTCACAAATAGCCTCTTATTACCAATCTCTCTGAACAATGTTCAGTTTTCCAGGATGTTCACTGGTCAGATTTGTACCTTACTGTATAATGAGATTTTATGACTGAATTTTGAAATCAAGTTGTCAGCAATGATCTTACATAGGCATGAGCAGTCAGAAAGGGATTATACTGTGATCTTGCTCTTAAATGTAACCTAAATAATTGAACTGAGAAAGTTATGCCTGCACTGAGATCCTCAGAAAGAGTTACATTTGATGTTCAAAGACCATAAGGCAAAGCCAGGAAGATAAGTAAAATAAATAATTTATTGTATTCTAGAATGTGATAGATTTCTTTTTCTCTTCTTTTCATTCATTCATTCATTCATTCATTCATTCATTCATTCAGCTTTTATTCTAAAAATCTAACATTTACCAGGAAGGTGTTTGGAAAGAAATGATAATGATGTCTCAAAGGTATGTTTCTCAACAGCCCAATTACTTTATTACACGAAATCATTCAATAAAACTGGCTTGGTTCCCCAGTAATGCTTATAAACAAAGCAAACTAGTTGTCAGCATTATGATAGTAGAAAGGAAGAGGAACTGATCCTTACCAGGTGCAAAACTAAAGAATCCTTCAATCTTCAAGGAGGGGGGAAAATAATAGCTATGAAGGCAAGTATTTAATCTTGTTCTTCCATAATTCCTTGAAATGTCAGATAATTTTAAAGGCTATAATGGTGATAAGGATTTTGGGGGACACAAATATATCATTGGAATATGATCTCGATCTAAAATTTGTTTACTTAAACAATTGTAATTATGCGATTAGTGGGAACTGTATATCTAACTGTAGTCCCATTTGTTATTACTATTGCTATTATCAAGATTGTGAACATGATTATAATTTCTTAAAACTACATTTAGCATCTATATCCAGCTGATAACTCTAAGTACCGAACATGTATGAAACAATCACCACTAACTTGCCTTTTCTTAGAACCTTCTGTCACTTATTTACTTTACTTACTTATTTTATTTATGAAATTTATGTCACCCATTTCGTATCTAAGGTCTCATTGCAGGCCCAGACAGTTCATGTCTCTGCCTGTCCACTTTGCAGGGACAGACAGTTCTTTCAATAACTTGAACATAGTTTGATGAATGGTCCTCTTCCAGGACATCCTCTGAGAGAGCTGGTTAAGTTGCCTCTGGAATGAAGGGGGAAAAAGCAATGCATCAACTCTCTTTGCATTTAGAGGTAAGCAGTAAGCTAGAGCAATGTTTTTTCCTATTGTGTAGGAAACCTCAAGTAACCCTTTGAACTACCCTTTGGTATTTTAGATATCCACTAAGGCTTGCAAAGTAATTCTATGACAATATATTCAGAATTAAGTGTAACAAATAACTGGATAGAGGAATTTGCTTTCAAGAGGTAAAGAACTATCCTTTTATTATTTGGTTTATTTTCTGTCTTTGTTTCTAATAGACTTTTCTTTCCTGACAGAAGAATTTCTCCAATTTAGAATAGAATTTAGAATAGACCTTAGGCTGACAAATTTTCTCTTTTAAGACTTTGAAAAAAGATTTTTTTTAAAAAAAAACATAGGTTAAATATTCAGCAACGTTTCTAACTTGTTATTGCTCCTTGGCAAGTTTGAAGTTAAATAAAAGTGATTTAGATATAGATGTAGTCCATAACACACATAGTAACATTTTATCACAACTCCCCCCATCCTTCTCCCTCTCCCTCTTCCTCTCTTTCTCTTTCTCCTTTTAGATAATGAAAATGTGGTGGAAAGTGGGACAGACCATATTTCCTTCATCTTTACAATTATAAGAATATTATATAATGTTTCAGAGTAGTCTAATGTCTAATAAATGTTAATTGGTACATTATATTTCTTTATTTACTGTAGAGGGGTGTGTGGCGAAAGCTTGGAGGGGTATGATGATAATTGATTCACATATATAATTTGTTTGTGTAGGTTGTCAAACTCAGAGGCTTTGAAACAAAGAACCATTCAGCTATTAGGGAATTTGTTTTGTTAGGTTTAACACGTTCTCCTGAAATACAAAGAATTCTATTCTGGCCATTCATATTTAGTTATGTTGCAGCTCTGACAGGTAACTTCCTTCTTATATTTATCATATGCACTTCTAAGAAACTTCACACTCCAATGTATTTCCTCCTTGCCAATCTCTCCTTGGTGAATGCGTTCTCCATGACAACCACAACGCCCAAATTGCTTCACACTCTTTTCTCATACAAAAACACTATCACATTTCATGGCTGCATCATTCAGGTCTACTTTTTCATATTGTTCCTGGTGACAGAACTTCTGCTGCTGACAAGCATGGCTTTTGATCGTTTCGTTGCTATTTGCTACCCATTGCAATATACTCTGATCATGAGGAAGGAATTGTGTGCTGCAATAACTGTTGGAGCATGGGTTTCAGGACTGACAAACTCTGCAGTTCATTCTGGACTTGTCCTAAAGCTGTCCTTCTGTGAATCCAATATTATCAATCATTTCTTCTGTGATCTGCCTCCACTTTTGAAGTTATCATGCTCAGATACCAGCTTGAATGAAACAATGACTTTTGTGGCAGATGTAATTTTTGCTGTTTTCAGTTGTGGACTGATCCTAACATCATATGGATTTATTATAAGGGCCATCTTCAGAATTCGCTCTACTGAAGGAAAGAAGAAAGCATTCTCCACGTGTTCCTCCCATCTTATTGTAGTTAGCTTTTATTTTTCAGCAGTCATCTACACATATATCAGGCCCACTTCAGTCTATTCTTTAAACAAAGACAAATATATTTCTCTCCTTTATTCAGTAGTAACCCCAGTTATTAATCCAATCATATATTCACTAAGAAATAAAGAGGTAAAAGAAGCTCTCAAAGGCTTTATTGGAAGAGGTAGAATGTTTCCAAAAAATATATATATATATATATATATATATATATATATATATATATATATACATATATATATATATTAACATATATATAAATGGGTTACTAACTAAAGAGTTAGGAAATCAAAATATGAAATTAAGTAGGTCATCAGTTGAATGAGAAAAACAGATAGAGATGAATGTGAAAAGATTATATGAACAGATAAATAATCCATATCTTTCCTCACTTGCAAATAATTTTAGATCATATAAGTGAGTTGCACTTTTGATAATTCTGTTCCCAATGACAAACGACAACACTCAAGACAGAAGCCTGACTCACATTGGGGTCAAACTATGTATATCCATCTCTGCTTAATGTTTTATTATTTATTAGTCCTACTTAGAATTTTATGAAAATACTAATCAGATTATATCTTTTTGTCATGGCAACAGGATGCAGGATACTGCATATTGTATATTACAGAATGTATCTTTATAAGCATTAAGCTCAAATATTTATTGTGTGCAAAAACAAAACAAAACCTAATTGTCCCTTCATGCTTTGACATGCTATATTGTATTTATGTAGCATTTATTATACATCATCAGATTATAAGAGATTTTCCAGTTTATGACAAATAAAACTATTTCTTTGAATGAAATGCATTTATTAACTCACATTATGATTCACATTATGACTCACATTCAGTCATTGTATGTAAAAACTGTAGTTCAGCTGATTTTCAAAGTAAAAGAAACAGAGTTAATATAAAACCAAGGAAGGAAGGGAGAGAGAGAATCATAAATAAGTAAACTGTTTTCTTTAATGCCTGACTAAAAAGTTTTGCCTTATGTGGATTTCAACAGACAGGGAACTGGAGACAGAAGAGTTCCTGAAGAAATATATGCCATTGCTTGTACTAACTGCTGATTGATTAGGTTTCTGAAACCAGAATAATCTTCTATAGTAATTCATAATATGATAAGCCACCCTTAAAGAGGTTAACATCAACTTGCTAAAAGTTAATCATTAATTTAGTTCTTAAGAGAAGAAATTCCTCAGATCATGTACTAATGTACTGAGGAAATTCCTCAGATCATGTGCTATCAGTTGATCTATTGCTTTACAAACAGACTAGTGGTGTTGAACACTTATCGATATAGTAACACATTTCTTATATTGCTGTAGAAAAGTCATAACCATGAAGTTTCAGAGAAGAACAGCAGTATAATCACGCAATTTCATCATAAATGAATAATGGGATAATTCTACATGAGTTTATATTAGAAGAATAAAGACCCATGACTACTTTTATTGATGTTAAATGATAAAAAAAAAAATACTTCCAAATTCATCTCTAATTAATTCTGAAATTGGTTTTTCACATTTCTGTTTATTACAATGCCTTATCAAAAATATTAACAAACTTTCTATGTTCTCTTCACTGGGCACATTGGGCAGTATCTACCACAGCATTTAGTACAGGCTTTGTCATGTACTATAATTCTTCATGAATTATGTTTGGCTTTCAATCTCTACATTTAAAAGACTTAAAACTCATCTCTTTAGCCAGATCTTCAATGCAAACTGTGAACCTATTTGTGCTTTAACTATATTTTTCCTTTCTCTTTCTATGTTTTAGTTTTGATTTATTATGTAACTCAGCTTAAGTGTTCATTTTAAACAAAAATATTTATTTATTTTAAATAAATAAAGAAATATTGTTTGAAGAAGTAACTTTATTTCTGCATAAAGAATCTCAGAACATTGGGCATAAAATAAGAAGATATTTTAAATTCCATAAGATTCAATATGCACCTCCTGGTATGAACTGCATCCAATTTTAATTAACTTTGCAGCAATTTTGCCATAGGTTCACCATCACGGACCTATAATGTGTTGACTATCATGTAAGCCAGGACCCTGATTTTCATATCACAATTTGAAGAACATCCATGCACTTGGGTTTATCTCACATGCTCATATTTTTGTAAAGCTCTAAAAACCTGGCTATGTTATTTAGCTGAGAACAGCTAAGGAGGGTCCTACATGTGCCAAGGGCCCTGCCATGTTTGCTATATTGTTAAATGATTTTGTATATACTTCAAATTAGACGTTTTAATGTTTTCTACTGTTTTTTAATTATTTACGTTCTTTAAATTTTTTAAAAAAGGTTAATTGTAATATATGTTTGAATTGAGAGCTGTGCAGAGGCATTTGCTGAGATGAGCAGCTATAGAAATCAAATGAATGAGTGAATGAGTGAATGAATGAATGAATGAATGAATGAATGAATGAATGAATGAAGCAAATGCTCCAATTTTAATGATGACTTAGAAGAATATGCATAATGTGGTAAATAAAGATCATGCCTACTGATCTTATCACATTAAAGGACCTCTCCTCACAAAACAAAACAACCCTCACACCACTTTCCTAAATTATTACCATAGATTTCCTTCTGTAGATGTCTAAATTGTCATGTACAGCAGAGGAAAAAATACTGAATCAATGACATGTGGAGAATGTTGCGTAAGCCTTTTCTTTTCTTGTTTCAGTGGAAGGATCCTAAAGATACTGCTCAGTATATATGAAAAGAATTAGTGGTGGGTTTCAAAATTTTTTGCTACCGGTTCTGTGGGTGTGGCTAGGTGGGCATGGCAGGGGAAGCATACTGTAAAATTTCCATTCCCACCCCACCGCAGGGGAAGGTTACTGCAAAATCCCCATTTCCTCTCAATCAGCTGGGATTCAGGAGGCAGAGAATAGATGGGGACAGGGCCAGTCAGAGGTAGTATTTACTGGTTCTCCGAACTAGTCAAAATTTCTTCCACCAGTTCTCCAGAACTGGTCAGAACCTGCTGAAACCCACCTCTGAATAGAATGTTAGTAATAAGCCACAGCTCCAGTCCCATTATATCATATCTGTGTCAGCTGCCATAAAGTTGGTGTCCCTTTATTTTAATCATCAACCAGACATATCAGCACACAACAATATGTCCTAAACACAACATACAAGAACAAATTTACAGCTGCACAACTGGTAATGGTAATGGTCTAATCTACATACCATAATAATTTATTAAAGTTTATAAAATGCCAGAGCCACTTTGGGACTTGTATCTGAGCATGTCATTAAAGTTGCACACACACACACACACACACAAAAAGAAGCCTAAAGCCACCATGGATTATTCCAATATTTCAGACAAGTATTCCTATTTCTATTTCCCTGTTTGTTTCCCTATGGTAATGATGTATTGCAAAGGGTGATAATAGTAACACAATAATTGTATTATTGTGTTACTATACAGCAGACACAACAGAGAGAAGCAAAGATTCTTTATCCATAGCCCTATTATGTATTTAGTATATGACATGTCATACATGGATTAATAATATATATTAACATTTTATCCAGATTAGTAGAACGTCATAAAATAAAAATGTTAAAAAGATATATGTTCAAATACCAATGTCTAGGCCATCTAACCATTGAAGTGCAGCAGCTATTGGATTGGTATACACCCTAATCTTACAGCCGTTCATAGTGTTATCTACAGTTTTATGTGGGACCTGCACTGAGAGGAGGATATTATGCCCCATTTATACAGAGAGTCCTGGCAGACACTATGTGAGGTGTGAATCCTATTCAAGATTTCCCATTTCTGATGTGGTAGTTCAAAGTCTGGCATATTTCTTTTATTTTTATTTTTTTATTTTTAAAATAAAACATAAAACACATCTTTTCAAAACGAAGCTTTGGTCTGGTCACATATTAAGGCAAATCATTTTTTTTTTAATTGAAAAAGTTTTGCAAGTACAAATTTTCCCATTCCCCCCCTTTCCCTCCCTAACCCTCCCTAGCCCTCCCCTCCTCCCATGACTTCCCCAAGGTGAAATCCAAATCCAAATCATATTATATCATACTTTACTGCCCGTCTATTCTGCCCCCTGTGTACTATACATTTCTACATGACATTGAACTATTCTACCCCCTATATACTATACATTTTTACACAACATTCAACTAAAAGCTATCTGGTACTTCCTAGTTTGATATTTATTCTGCACATAATCTATCCATTTCTTCCACTCCCGTACATAAGTCTCTTGAGTCTGGTCCTTTAAGTATGCTGATATCTTTGCCATTTCTGCAAAACTGGCCACCTTCAAAGTCCATTCTTCAATAGTAGGCATAACATCCCTTTTCCAATATTGACCAATCAGTAACCTAGCTGCTGTCACCATATACAATATCAATTTTGTTTCACCCATTGAAAAGTCCTTAACTATACCCAATAAAAACAAATGAGGAGAAAATTGGAGTTTTTTCTTCAGAACATTTTGCATAACCCACCAAATTTTTATCCAGAAAGCCTTCACTTTCTTGCAAGTCCACCATATATGATAATATATAGCATCTAAACAATCACATCTCCAACATTTTGGTTGAACATTAGGATACATGCACGACAATTTCTTAGGATCTAGATGCCACCTATAAAACATTTTATAAAAATTTTCCCTCAAATTCTGTGACTGTGTAAATTTAACATTCTGAACCCATATTTTTTCCCACGTTTCCATCATAACTGGTTCTGCAAAGTTTTGCGCCCATTTTATCATACAATCTTTAACCAATTCATTTTCTGAATCTCTTTCTAACAAAACATTATAAACCCTCTTGATATGCATTGGGCCTTTCTCTTTTATCTGTCTTACCAATTCTTCTTCATGCAGCATTAAACCAGTTTTTTGATCTTCTCTCCATCTTAGTTGGAGTTGATTATACTGTAACCAAATTAAATTAATCCCTTCTTCCAACAGTGTATTTAATGTCTTTAGTTGCCATCTGCCCCCATCATTAAAAAGTACTTCTTTGTATAAAAACCTCCCAAGTGACTTTATATTTGTATTCGGTATAATATGACCAAGATCCAACCACAACGGTATTTTATAATACCATTTGAACCGGCGCTTCTTCCATACTCTCATCAAGGAGTTTCTAAGTATATGGCTGTTGAATACTTTATCCACTTTATTTTCATAAAATAAATATGCATGCCAACCAAGTTCAAGCTCATAACTCTCTATATTCAATATTCCAGTCTTTGTCCTTCCAAACCAATCACTTGCTTGTGTCAACGCTGCTGCTTCATACTACAGTTGTAGGTTTGGAAGTTTAAGGCCACCCCTTTCACGAACATCTTGCATAATTTTCAATTTAACTCTTGGCTTTTTCTCATTCCAAACAAACTTATTCACTCCTTTTTGCCATTCCATCAGCTGTTTATCACTTTTAAGCACCGGAATCATTTGAAACAAAAATAAAAATCTAGGTAGAACATTCATTTTAACTGCTGCTATTCTTCCAAGTAAGGACAGCTGCAGTTTTTTCCAGGTTTCCATATCCTTTTGTACCTTTCGCCACAACACCTCATAATTATTTTGAAACAGTTTTATATTTGAATCTGCAACTTGGACTCCTAGATATCTCACCTTTGGTACTATTTCAAAGCCTGCCTTCCTTTCAAGTTCCTTCTTTTGATCTTCTGTCGTATTTTTAACTATCATCTTGGTTTTTTTCTGATTCAGTCTAAATCCTGATACCATACTATATTCTTCTATAATGTCTTTCATCTGAATTATTGATTCCATCGGCCGTGTTAGGGTTACAACCAGATCGTCTGCAAATGCCCTTGTTCTGTAATCCTCTTGCCTTATAACTATTCCATTCAAAGTGCTCGAATCCCGTATTATGTTCAACAAGACTTCTAGAGTTAAGATAAACAACAATGGAGATAATGGACAACCTTGTCTTGTGCCTTTTTCTATACTGAAGTTTGTAGTTAAGCTTCCATTAATGATAATTTGTGCTGTTTACTCTTGATAAATTGCTGAAACCGCCTGCACAAACTGATCCCCAAAGTC